ATGGCCTGCTACAAGAAATGACGCAAAATTGAAAATGTTGATAAATTCTAAATTTATGCGCCCGATTTTCGACAAACTAGGACCAACTTGCGACTGAGAAGAAGACTGTTTTTTCAAAAAATGACCAAAAAAAATCTGTCAAAATATTTGGGGGTCCATAACAAGAACGCGCGCGCGTGGATGGGGGGGGGGGAGGAGTTGTGTTGGTTTTGGTGGGCGCTGTTTCTTCAAGTGGGTGAGGGATGGGGTTTAAGGGATAACGCGGCAAAAGTAGGGGGGGGGGGGGGTGTGCTGTTTTTTTTTCTGCATGTTGAGATAAATAATATCTGAACAAAAAAATATAATTAAGCATATTTGAGATTCATACTAAAATAGTTCAATTAGAAAACAATTTTAGAAAACGAAAAAAAAGTTTAAAAAAATTTCGAAATTATTAGCTCGAAATAAGACAAACCGGTTTTTCTCGATATTGTGAGAAATTTTTAAGGATGTTCGAATCACGATTAAAAGGTCTTCAATATGAAATATCACTCGACCCATTCCGATGATTGTTTCTGCTTCCTGATTTTGCGTGGAAAACGAAAAAAAAGTTAAACACACCCGAATACAAAGTTCCTCCCCATTTTCAATTGTCGGAGCAAAATTTTAGTTTTTTGAGCATAAAAACGAAAACAATGCATAAAAGATCAACAATTAAAGCATATTTTTTTTACAAACATTTGATCAGTTTCTTAGAGTTACTAATATTGCTAATGATTCAATTGCAGTTTATTGCAATTTTTTTCCACGAGAACGAACTATTTTAGTGCTCATCTGCCTAGTTTCACTTTATCAAGCCCCCTTGAAAAATATGAATTCCAAGACAATGACGCTTAATTCAAGGGTGGATTTAGACGAGTGAGTTTGTCAAAAACAATTCGGCCAAAATAGGGTTTTTATAGCGTTTCGGTAGTGCTCAGAAAATCATATTGGACGAACTAAAAAAAGGTCGACAAAGGTCCGCCCCTGCTTATTCTGTTACATAATTGGGTATATCAAAGCAATTGATTTTTTTTGGTATCTACCACTCTTCAGAAGAGGTGACAAATTTTAGCAGTAGTTACTGAGGCTAGTTTTCTTAAACACAAGCCACCCGCACTGACAAAAATGAATTAAGATCATCTCAAATTGTAATGAAAATGGATTAAGATAACAGATTCGAGGTCCATTTTCTTCAATTTTTCGATTTGTAACGCTTTTTCAATGTCCTTGAAACATCAATATTATAGTCAAAAATTTTTTTATCTGTAATTCCCCCGGGCACTAAAATTTGTAAGAATCTATACAACACAATTTAAATCAAAATTTTTGATCAAAGATAAATTTTGTAGCCTTTTTTTGCGCTTCCCCCTCAAAATTAGAAAATAACTTAAGAATAGTTTTAGGGTCTGTCCGCCAAATTTAATGTTTGAAAATAGTACAAAGGGGGATGCTTTTCGTCGGCAGAGGATCGAATCACTGAGATGGGAGGTTTTTTCACTGTTAGGTTCATTTTTTTTGGGTCGAAGCTGAGCACGCAAAACTAACTGAACACGCTTCTTTATAGTTTTGATTCCTAGTTACTCATATTAATTGAAAGTCTGTCAAATCAAGAAAAATTGTATATATTTGTTCAGAAAAAAAAAGATAAGTAAAAGAAATTTGACGAAATTACTCGATATAAGCCTAATAACGAAAGGGTGTTACGAGTCAAGTTTTACATTTTTCATTGGAGTGAAAAGTGGGAAGGCTGAAATTTAGGCATAATTTTATCTTGTTGAGAGACTTTTTTTAAGTATCGAAGGTGATTAAATGAAAATATTTACGTAAAAATTTGAGATGATTGTCTCAAAAGAAGACAAAATTAACCCATTTTTCTGCATAAACCTCTGAAAAAAACCTCTGAAAAAACCTCATGAAATTTATAGAAAAACTGTGGTGCGAAAAGGCAAAAAATTTCTATTTCGAGAAAATTAACCACCCACAAATGACTAAGGGTTTTATTTCTCGAATTAGAAACTATATTTCTTTCTCTACTCTAGCGCAGCAGTTTTTCACGTTTTGGGCGATGAAGTGAAGCTCAGGAAGAGAGTAATAGATTCCTACCGTCGAATCCTTCCACTTCCAGGGCTATTCCTGAAACAAAACAAAAACAAGTTTAAGAAACAGATTCAATTCATTTTCTCAAGTTCCTTTTCTCAACCTTTCAGCATCTACAATTGATAGACCTTGTAATAAATCTTCACCTTTCCTTCACCTTTCCAAAGAGGGGAGAGGCTTTCAAGAAGAACTCTAAAACGAATTAGATTCAGTGCCGCATTACAGTTTTTCCTACGCACCGAAAACTGAAAACTCAATCAGATTTTTGGCATAAATAGTCTTAAGTCGGTGCATTTGATGCTTTTTTGCATCAATTGTTCTCAAGGTCAACTTTTCTGCAGATAAAACAGTATTATATCTACGGAGATGTATAAAATAGCATATAAATAAACAAGACTGCTCGTATATCAGGGTAAAGCCTTGAATTTTCCGACTGCACTTACGGCCAATTGAAGAGTTTTTGTTTTGGTTGAATAATTGACAAAATAATTGAGATTTTTTATTTTTTTTCTTCATTTTGTCCCCCATACGCCATGTAAAAAACCAAGGGTGTGTTTAGCGTCTCGTATTGTGATAATACGATTAAATTGCTGGCCTCAATTCAATTTGGAACGCAGTAATTGTTCCGATTTTCGGTGTGGTTTTTTTATTCAACCAATTTTCGGCGATCAAAATAACAGTTTTTAACAAAAAAATTTTAAATCCCATTGAAGATATGGAATCCCTAAAATCAAATGTAAAAAGATATTTTACCTACGATCATTTTTTACCTACGAGTTCTAGGAGTTTGTAAGTTGTTAATTTGGCCATGCAATTGTAACAGTTTAATCATAATGTTGAAAGCGTAACGCGAATAATTTATGGGTGACGAACTCAAAATCGTTCCAAATTTAATAGAGACTAGCTAGTCCGTCTTATTTTTTCTGTACGACTCAAAATTTCACGCTTTGATATTGTCCAAAATTTATAGGTTTTCAATATTTTCTGTTCCATACTATCCGATATGAATTGAGGGACAGTTGGAATCTTCAGAGTTTTGCCCTGATATACGAGCAGTCTTGTTCCGACTTTCGTAACGATAGTAATGTAATATTTGTGCTCGGGGTGTTTTTTTCTTCAGACAAATTTCGACTTTACAACTAGCCATTTTTGATGGAATTTTTTTATACCATTCAAAAGGTTTTGTTGGCGATATATTTTGCGCTGCTAACGCGTAAGCTGAGATTTATTCCGTCTTAGAAATCGTTCCAAATTGGTTGAAGGAAGCTTATATGCCATAAATGATTTGTTAATAGGAGCAAAATCTATCACTTTTTACCTAATATGGTGGGGGATGTTTTTACAGAAAATTCATTTCAATTTTTTTAAGGAATTTTAATTACATTTTGTTAAAATTGAACTTTTCATGCCATTACTGCTTCATAAACCTTAAAAGTCAGTCGGAACATTCAGGGCTTCGCAATACTTGATCTTTGATATACTGTACAAAATTTATAGAGGGGCATAGTTAGTTAAGGGGCATATTTGGAACATTCAGGGCTTTGCCCTGATACACGAGCAGTCTTGTTCGCCTCTCACGCATATAATAAGTACGTAATATAACGCACTTTGTTTTTCGCAAATTGCCCAAATTAGCAATTTTCAAACGCCCGCAACGTACGAAAAATGATCACAGGTGAAATATCTGTTTAAAGTTCAGTTTAGGATAACAGTATCTATCAGATAAAATAAAATAATTCCGTCGATAGCGCTAAGTTAACAAGTCGAAAACTGACTGAATAAGAAAACACACAAATCATAAATTTTCAGCCCTTTCTTTGAAAGTCGGAACGAATAGTACCATAAACTTTGTTCCTACTAGCTTTCTTATGTGTTATCGCATGCTTTTTGTAACTATATTTGCAACTCTGGAAGAAGAATATCATGATTCTGAAAGAACTCAATGAACATTTTGGCATGGCCATTAAATGGCAGTTGCATGACTACTTATTCATTTTCACTGTTTTTAAATAAAAAATTTAATAAAAGCTACATTTCTTTTGTTAAGCTTATTTACAACCAAATTTCTGATTTAAAATAATACGATTAATAGGCCGAATGTTTTAAATAGTGTTAGTATCATGCAATTTGATGGGCTAATATGTAATTAAACATCTTTCCAAAAAATTTTCAATATTGTAAGCTATTTTATCATTATGTTAAAGTTACGGTCCCCAATCTAATATTTTAAATAACATGTTTGATCGTTTTCCTGAGACTTAACATTTTTGGATAAAATTCGACGTGGATCTATTGTGTTCTTAAAAAGTGGGATCTCGTTTTTCTGATATGTCCCAGAACACTAAAACGAAGTTTTTGGGAGTTTTTGAAAAAATCAGACCAAAAAAAGTCCTGTTGTTTTTGACCCACTACCTCAAAAAATGATGATGGAAAAGTGATGCCTTTGCCCTTTGAATGGCGGGGTCTGAATACTAAGCCTGGGTAAATCGGAATTTGTTTTCCCACTAAATGACAAATAACATACCAAGTCGGGTTCTGCCGATGTCGCGTCGGATTGAAGTCACAAATTCATCCACACTGAAATGCAAAATTTAATTATTTCAGTTAAATTGTCGTACGGTAGATTATGAGCGTTAGGTGAATAATTAACTTCCGATCATCAAAAACGAATTTGTACGAATTGCTTTTGATTATATACTCAATAGAACAGTCAGATCATTGTCCTTAACTTTTACTGACGGAACCATGCGGTTCACACTGCTGATGTTCACTGCGAGACCAAACTGTGCATTTTGTGAAATAGAAGAGGATTCCGCAAGAAGGACGCCCCTTTGGTCTTTCGTTCTTTCAACTTCTTTGATCGTTCCGACAAAACTTTAACATGCTTAAAGACTTGTCTCTGGAATCCAGGAACATACGGGTATAGGGCAACAGGCCGACGGGACTTCAAGCCGATGGGACTTCAAGCCGAAACTAAAATCTTACCAGCACCTCAAAACACTATTTTATCATCTCTAAAACGTTGCTTTTCAAAAATTCAGGCATGTTTAGTCCATAATAAGCGTTGTTCATGACAATGCACCACTTCTGATCGTCATCCGTTAATAACATCAGCCGGTTTTTGAAATGCAAAAATTATAAACATGAAAAATGTCTTCAACCATGTTTTACTTTTCAACTTTCCGAAACATCATTTGGAGGTTTAAACTTTATGAAAACGCCAATTACTAGTGAAGAAAGATCATGAAATTCAGAAATTCTTCTAAAAAGTTTTCAAATAAGTCATATTTCCCCGGGATGACCTCCATAGACCGAAAATGCTAATTATACAATTTCATACACTTAGTCTATGGAAAAATGCTAATCATAGAATTTTCATACATTTTTGCAAAATGAGTTTAATCGAATTTCAAAGGTATTTTATTGTTGTTTTGGTATCGAAATTGGTATCTCTTCATAAAAAAAAGGGAAAAAAACCATATGAAAAAAATGCTAATCATACAATTTCCATATATGGAAAATGTATGATTAGCATTTTTTTAAAAAAAAAAATTGTAAAAAAACGCTTTGAACAATCAATTCGACTGCTGGCAAAGCATTCAAGCGTTTTTTGGGCTGCTACAACTGAAAACTTTGACTTTTTTTTTTGTTTTTTGAAAAAAAAACACTAGTCATATAATTTCCATATATGAAAATTGCATGACTAGCGTTTTTTTAGAAAAAAAACAAATTTGAAAAAAAAAGAATCAAAAACTCCAGATTGTAGATAGGTAAATCAGCACATCAATTTTTTGAACTTGATGTGAACTGTTTGCAATGACTCGTTTGTTTAAAACAGACTTTGTCAGGAATCAAAATTTTCAGAAAAAACACGGGTGTTTTTCCGAGGATCAATGACAAATCATGATAGGTTCTACTTCTAGAAGGCGTTCTTGGTTTTAATTTAGCAAGGATTGAAAAACAAAACGGTTTGTTTGCGACCATTTAAATTAAGGAGTAGTGTTGTCTCTGGATGTATTCTAAATTTTTTTCAGGAAAAATCTTGTATCACGAATAATCATTAGGATGTGTTTTATAGGGAACTGTTTTAGATGTTGATGTCAGATGTGATTGGAAGAGAAGAAGTCCAGAATATTGATGCTTCTGGTGGACTGTTTCTTGTTTTGGATTACTCAGCTAGCTAACAGGTTTTTTTCTTAATTTTTCTGAGGCAGTCCCTCCTGGTTTGGAGTCCCCCTAAGATAAGATTAAGAAATGCTCAGCTTTCTCAGTGTGTGAGGAGAATTGACTATGAGAAATCAATTTTCTCTGGTTTTTTCTTCTCTGTTCAGAGATTGCTCGTCGTATGGGATGGGAATTAAAGTAATTTTTTTGCCTCATTTTGCTGGATTTCTAATTGTTAAAAAATGCTAGTCATAAAATTTTCATATATGAAAAGTTTCTAAATTTTCAATTTCCATATATGAAAAAATGCTAGTCATACACTTTCCATATATGAAAAAATGCTAGTCATACAATTTCCATATATGAAAAAAATACTAATCATAGACCTTTCATGCAATTTTCTGTACGTATGGAATTGCATGGAAAGTGTATGACTAGCATTTTTCCATAAATGGAAATTGTATGACTAGTATTTTTGGTCATCCCGGGTCACGACTTTATAAGGAACTATTCGGCTTGAAGTCCCTAATTTTACGATTCGGCTTGAAGTCCCGTCGGCTTGATGTCCGGCACCCGAACATACACACAAAATTGAGCGCCTACCCAGTGCACAGGTTGTCCTCGTAATGTTATGCAGGACCAGAACATTGGTAAGTGTTATTCAATTGAAGAATTCGATCACGTACGATTAACACAAAGTGTTGAGTTCAGGGCTAGGATGTTCCAGCCGGATGACATGTAATTTAAACAAATATAAGTTTAGTCATAAACCGACTTTTTTTCTAAATTTCGCTCAACCCCGCAGCCCCCCCCCCCTCCGGCGCTCAGACATTCCCTGGACCCCCTAAAAAGGTCTGTCTGAAAAAAAAGTTGAAGAAGTTTTCTAAAATATGCTAAAAAGCAGTGCCCCTCCTCCCAAAACCATACTGCCCATACTGCCCGTCCGCTACGCTTATTGATTAGTTAAAGTTTAACTTGACTGACTCGATGGCGTCCTGTTTGATCTGGAGGAAGTTGAGGAAGATGCTGATTTGTAGGATGAGCATGACCACCATGGTCGAGTAGAGGATGAATCCGGTGTAGAACTTGGCCCTCACATTCTTCACTTCCAGTCGCTCCAGCTCCAACTCCTCCTCCGTCTTCTCTTCTCCCTTTCAAGATATAACAGATCTCTTCAACTTATTCCCCTATTTGCGAAGAAGGGGATATTTGTTACACTTTTTTCTCAAGGGGGAAAGTTTAAAAATTTACATGTGCTTAACCTTGAATTATTTTTATAGGGTTGGCAATTTATTAGTAGGTACCAGATGGGGGGCGTAAATACATCCATAATAAACAGTATTACGCTGGCGCGGATTACGGGGAGCGGGTTCAAGGAATCTCAGGGAATCTATTTCTTGTAAAACCTACATGGTCCATTTTTTGGCAATTTTTTTTAAAAAAATTTTCTTCAATGTTTTCCGGTATATTCATTCAAAGAGACTCTGAACAATACGATGTGTCGAATTTTCGCAAACCAACCCCATTTTTTGTCGTAAATATTTGACAAACTCAAGTGCGCGCAAAAACATTTTGCTAATTGAGTACCAAAAAAGCCTGAACTTTTTTGTTTCTGTCTTACAACGAATTTTGTTTGTACGAGCGTAGAGGTAATTCTAACCAACTGGTGGTAGGCACTAAGTTTAGTAAGAAACCACCATTTCTCTAATAGTTTTATTACTGTATAACACTGCATAAATGGTCGACACTGAATAACGTGATAGCTTGTGTTATTTAGGACTTCTCTGGAGCCGCGAGGTCACCTGGAGCATGGCCTTCAATAACTTAAGATGTATAAATAATTAAATTTAATGAAAATTTTACTTGTTTATTGGTACCAATGATATATCCTGACGGATGACACTCCTCGGGAGCTCTCAAAAATTTTCAAAATCCCATAGTCTCCTTTGAAGAAGGCGCCTCTTTTGATGGTGTCCGTTTAGGTGTCTCCCCCTTTCTGTTGTTATCGATGGCCTTAATTGGTATGGCATTACTAAAATAGGCCCCGAGGTTGCTTGATTGATTGCGTGTCGAGTAGGGTGAAGTTCTTGTGGGCAGAAGCAATTTCTTCACGTCCAGTTTCTCGGATAGTGGTTTCTTTTCAGATGACGAAGTTGATACATCTGATTCCGAGGACGAAGGCGATGGCATACTGATAATGATCACCCTTGGTTGTGGTACTCCTTCTGTTCGCTTGCCATGTTGTTTTGATTTTAAGCTTCCTTGTTGCAACCTTTTTTCCGTTCTTTGTACGCGGTTGTTCCGACGTCCATTTCAGCTACCCGAGCTTGCTGCTTTTTATTTCTGCGTGATTGTTTCTTTGCTGGTATCATTTGGAATTGGTTTTTACATTTTTGGGCAGATTTGTACGCTGCAAAGTCAAATAAATTTTTGAAGCGAGAGTTCCTGTAGAGTTTTGGGCTTGGTACGAACGCAAAATCACTGTTTCGAATTTGTCTGGGCTGTTTTCCGATTGTTTGTCCTCAAGCTGTGTATTGTGTGTACGTTAAAATTTGCCCGCCTCTGATTCATACTTTTGTTGAAATAATGTGGGTTTTTTAAATTTTTGTGCTGGTCTAACTGCTTTCCTTGCTACTTGCTGAATACGTTCTCTCAATTTTTTATATGTTTTTTGTCTCTTTAATTCTTAGTGGAAATTTTCGTTGTCTGGTCTACTCAGTGTCCAGTTTAATGAGTTCCGGAACCATCCCCTTAATTCCCGGCGCTTGATGGTGACCTCGTCCTCCGACCAGCAGTTCTGTTCTAGTATCTGTTCTGATGTCAGTCGCAGTCTCTCTAGGTCCTGCTTGTCTGGCATCGTATTCAGTTTTTTCATTGTGTTAGTTTAGGTTGTTTTTGCTACTTTTTGTTGATAGACTTGATGTTGCCATATTTGAACGCCTGCCTATGTGTATTTAGAATTGACAGATATTTTTCGGGTGTTGGTTTTTTTGTAGAGTTTTCAATAAACATCTGACTCTAGTTTGTATGTTTTTTTCCTGGGGTCAACTTTAACTATCTCTAGCATAACCAACAATGTTTAGATTAAGCGTTCTAGCCAATCGATTGCCTCATGGTCGTCTAACGGTGCAAACAGTAGCTTACTGTTGATTTCTTTGCAGTATAATTGAAATTTTTTCGCGTTAATATTTGTGTTGGCCGCATCTAGTTTTCCATGAAATTCTATTAATCAATATAATCCGCTTCACAAAGTGATTGATATGGCCACTTTGGATGGGTATCTACCTATGAGTTGGGTAATTGGAAAACCGATCTTCTGCGACCAATATATTTTCAAATATATAAAAATATATTCAAAAGATTACCAATTTACAAATAAACTTTTATTAACATTTGCATCCAATTTGTTTTTAACCGATGTGAAAAACATTTCTTCTTTCTCTACTTGTATCTTATTTAATTTGCTTATACGCGTCCTTGACAATTTTGAAATTTTAACTAGATATTTTTCAGCTAAAATTTTTCACATCTTCGAAAAGAATTGTTGTCTTGAGTTCAGGTTTAATAATTACTTTTTATATCTGATCATTTTTGGTAGACCATGTGGTTTTAAAATTTGCCAAATTGGCCAGTTTGGTACAATTATCGTGCGTATATTTCCTGCTATTAACTGTAAGCGGAGGTTTAATCGCCTTGAAGTTGTTCCAGATTGGATTGAGGAAATCCCGTTGGTCTAATGAATACTTTGCTCAGTGCAAAAAGTATCACTATGAAATTAGCATAGCGTGTGGCGGGATGATGCTCAAAACAAAAAACTCCAAAAAGTTTGCATTTTTGAAAAATTTATCAGTTATTGCCATATAAACTACTCAATTTAAGTTGAAATGCAGTCGGAATTATCAAGGTCTACGAGCGTTTGATCTTGTTGGAAACCTGAAAATTCTCACGAGGGAGGTACCGAATGATGGAGAGCTTTTAACCAGAGCAGTGCCTTTTTGCTAAATGGACATTTGTACAACACCCAAAAAACATTATTTCCAGAAAATAATTATAGCTGCACATCAAAGTTTTGCTGTACATTTTGCGCAGATATATAATGAGGTTTTGTTTAAACTGTTGTAATTTTTTTTCCAAAGCCCGACCTCAATTTCGCATTTTTTACAAATTCGTTGTTTGCATTTTTTTCTATCGGTCAACATTCTTTTCCATTGTCTCAGCTTTTTTGAGATTTCTGAAAGCCCAATTCTGGTTGACTGGATTAACTGAAAAAAAATTCATACATTATATTCCTCCATCTTTCAGGAACGCCACTGGAAAATTCTAAAATTTCAGAAAAAAATTTCAAGTCGGCCAATACACAAATTATTACCATATTTAACAGCCTCAACCCGGGCAGCTAGAAATTAATTTTGTTCAAAGTTTCAAACGGTAGGTGCGAGAGGACACACCGTATTTATTTCATTGTTGGATTTAGTTATAGTTAATAGTGATGTTAGCCCAATGTAAGTTTTGTCTTTTCTTAATTCAGTTTTGCGCGTGCGGCTGGCCAAACTTTGAAAATATAGAGGAATCACAATTAAAGTCAAACCAGCGTGCAGTAAGTGACGAAAATTATTAATTTATAACTTCCGCTCAAGTTGTTCCAAATTTATGAGATCTTTAAGTTAATTATTTTTATTTGAAAAAATATGTTTAAGGAGAAACACTTTCATTTTCTCAACCAAGAAGCGTAAGCAGTCTTGGTCCTTTTCCACTTCAGGAGTTAGAGAGCTTAAATGGTTTCAGAAAGCTCAAACAATATTTTTGGTCGATTAAAAAAAAATCAAAGAAATATTGGACAATTTATCGAGAGTCAGTACTATTTGAGAAAAGTTTTAACCCACCGTTGCGTAGAATAAGAAATACAGGAAGATATAGGCTTCATTAGGCGAAATTGCGTCGGTATGTTTTTAAGTAAGGCTACTTGAAAATCATCTTGTACAAAAATTAAAATATTACCTTTTCGTTTTGTTTGTCTGGCATCTTCAGTCCCATAAAGCGCCTCTTCACCAGATTAGTCTTCATCTTCTTGTCCGAATCAATCCCCCCACTGGTACCTGCATCCCCTCCCTTCACACCACCGGATGAGGTTGCGCTAGTAGCTGAATAGAACAGATTACCCTTTTCAAGTTTCATGCGTCAAATTATCGAGAATCAATGTTTTGTTTTCAGCACCTCGTTGACAGTCTTGAAAAAAAAACTTCAACACGCCATTTTTTTTTCAGTACCCGCAATCATTAGCAGCTTTTTGGCGATACTTGAATTGAATTGGTTTTCAGTACCATATGTTGCTCGACCAAAGTCTCGAGAAATCATCAATGAGTGCCTGCAGTTTTTAGCACACTATTTTTAAAATGGTTTATAAAGCGGTTCTGATTTTCTGCTGTGAGGTTACCCGAACTAATGCTGCATCCAGGGATAAAGTTCAAGCTAATAATAAAGTGATTCCAGCTTTACTTACTATGGGTGATTCCCTGAAAAAATGCGAGGAATGGTAGTTCGTTTTAAAGTTACTTCAAGCTTTCGGCTATCTAGAAAAAGTTATCGGAAAAAAATCATTTTGAGTGTCGGTGATAATCAGCTTGAGTGGGAGAATTTGAGTGTGCTAAAACGACACATAACTATAAGGACGATTTATCCACAAAAGAAAGGACCAAGTTACGAGCTGGTCAGCTCAACACGGATACCCATTCTAGCGGCTTCCCTTATGAAGTACATGCAATTTTTTGGCTTTTTTTTGGCTGGGTAATGTTGCTTCACTCATGACAAAAATAAACTTAATAGTTCGCTTTTAATTCACTAGAATCATGAACCACGACATGCAAAAATAATTGATGTTTTGTTGGTAATGGTTTGGACTTACCTGCACTTGACTCTCCCGCGAGGCCGATGAAACCGCCGCCTACCTTGCTCGGCCTCTCCGAGAGGGGAACTTTGAGAGACTGGCTCTTCCGTTTGTGCTCAAAGTCTTTCTCATTCGAATCCATTTCGACGTCAACTGCTGACACAAGGTAAAAGTTTGAGAAATGTTCCCCATAAACATTTAAAAACGAGTTTAAAATGTCCATCTAAATTTTAAAAAAAACACAGGAAAGTTTTAATTTAGAATAGTTATTTAGCATTTTAATTTTCGGCACAACTTTTTTAAACTAAATTTTGAAAATAATTTAATTTTTGATGGTTTTTCCCCATTTTTGTTTTCAGTTATTTATAGGACCCATCTTTCATACTTTTACCAACAGTCAAATCAACTGCAGAATTGATGTTAAAAAAACAAGTAAGAATTTCGATTAATGTTGGCTCTATTTTTTGTTGAAAGGCATCAGAAATGAGTTTAGATGAAAGCGTTTTAGATACCAATTAGTTAAGGAAACAGGAAAAGTTAAACTTAGCAACCAATGCATAATCTTTTTTCGGCGTTTTTTGCAGCCTGTGGCATCTGTTTTCACCGCCTTTAATTAACTAGAATTATCAATCACAACGGCATGCAAACAGAAGAAAAGTTTCGGAACATTGCTAATTCAATTTACATTCACTTTGACAAAAATTAAAATCTAAAAAGCCTTTTGCTCCGGTTGTCAAGCTGATTGTGAATATAAGGTGACGGTGCACTATGTATAAGTCTCATACATTTTTTTCTAAGTGTGCCATACAATTTTCAAATGTAGGGTATTTTCGATACTTTTTACGCCCCTTGCCCCTTAACTTTTTCAAAACATCGTTTTTAGCCTGTTTTTTTTTTTTAAAAATTGCCTGCGGCGCAGGAAGTTTCACTCAAAACAGGGTTTTTCTTGTATTTTTGGAGAGCTCCGAAAACCGCCCCTCCTAGAAAACTTATACGCACGCCACTGATTTCTATGTTTAGGAACTCCGAATATTGGCTCTGATTTTTTCTCTAAAAATTTTATAACCCGGTTTGAAAAGATCGTTTTATGTATCGACCGTATGAGTTGAACGATGCCTGGTCACCGACGAAATTATATTAGTCAAAAAAATTAAGGTTGACCAGAGTCGACACATAAATCGACCACGGTCGATACTTGAGTCGAATAGGGTCCACCAAAGTCAGGCAAAATCGATAACAGACATCGTTCGACATGCAGATTCGAGAGACGACATTGTTCGACCCATACGGTCGATTCGGAAATTGACAACCTCAACAGGGGGAGTAACAATTTTTAGAGATATCAGATGCCACCGATGATTGAATTAGTTTTGCAATTTTGTTTTCAGTTGTTAAAATGAACCAGTAAATTTTTTCAAGCTGATGCCGTTTTTCCTGAAACCACAGAAGATATCTGACTGAGATTTTTGCTTATGTTTCACGGTTGATCAAAATGCAACAAACAAAAAGTTATGTTACTACGCCATTTTTCGATCAAAGTTTTCGACAGGTGTCTTTGAAGATAAAATGTCATCGTAAATGACTCAAGAAGAATGAATCTTTGTGTTTCAAGTTTTTGAAAAAAAAAACCGATGAAAAAAGCCGTTTTGCATCCTTTTTTGGAAAATTTTGAGCAAAAAATTCGTTTTATCGCCGCGCGCTACTGTTCAAAAATAGAATATTTTGTTACCGCGAGCACCTTTATAGGGTTGTACGGCCATGGAAATGAATGTCACAGAAATACCACAGGGGAGACCCTTTGGTTGTTGAGGGGTCTAATTCCTGAAGGGAAAAAGAGCGTCTGCCACCCCCCCCCTAAATCCGCCCCCTAAATCTGCTTGTACTTACACTCAACAGGCTTAATTGCTGTTGGCATAGATCAATGTTGGCATATTGCTAGTTTGAGGAGGGTTTAAAAGCCAGAGTTTTTGATTATTGGAAACAAATTGTTTTGTAAAAATGTGCCGTGCTGACATGCTAACCTTTTTAATTTGATAAATTAGATTGATTTTAAAAGAATTAAACTTTTAGGTATGTCATGAGGCGACCTTTGGTACCTCATTATATTCTATTTACTTATGTATTGTCTTATCTAACTATATCTTAATTTCCTACTTAAAGTGCAGTAAATTGATTCAAGGACAAATCTCACCAGCTAAATCGTTTGTCACTTGAGAATCTGAAGCTGTCATTTGCGAAAGCCTTAAGTGTGAAATCTAGTCATAAACATTAAACATTAAAACAATACATTCAATTCTGGATTCGATAATCATTTATTCTTTACTCTATTCTATCTATATTTATATCATATATAATTCAATATCTGAATTTTACAAAATCGTTTTCCCTACTCTAACTGAGGGAAATCTAATGGCGCAGCCAGCAGTTCCTGTGAATGAAGACAGGACTGACCTACTCGGAATACCACCATTTTGGGCGAGAAAATCGGTTAACCCACCTTTCATTTGGGAGACTTGGGTGGGACAATTTTTCTTGGCGGTGAGCCTCAAAGACAACATTTCACCGGGAGAGTTACAAGTTGCCCCAGCAGAGTTAGTGGATGAACCTTACCCGAAGCCCGAAGCACCGAATGCTGATGAGAACGCAGCAGAGGTAGCCAATAGGAACCTCCGAAATGAAGCAGCTAATAGAAGAATCGATGAGTACAACCAAGAGAGGAGAAGAAAAGGACCTCGCATTGTACATAACTGGTGTTACCATAAGGCAGAGGCGCGTTTGAAATCGCGACTTTTCCTCGCACTGGGAAATGAGGGAAAAAATGATTTTCGGATTCTTACTCTCATTTGGACCTCAATACTAGCTCATTCAGAGATTTTCATAGTGTTGTGAGGATGTCTTCAAGGCAGAGCGGGATTACACAGTCGTAAGGATTAAGCTGTACAATACAATTTTCATGCAAGATAATGACTCATTCTCATCATTTTACGCCCGACTTAGCGCTCAAACTGCGTTATGTAATTGGCCGATTGATCAGGAAATAGCAACTTTGAAAGATTTGTTCATTGGCCGCATTCGCGATGTGGAGGTTCAGAGGCAACTAATCAGAGCAAAAGCTAACCTTGATGATACTCTACAACTGGCTTTGGAGTACGAAAAAGGGGCTAAAACATCAGAACAATTCCAAAAATTGCTCCCACATAACAACGCTACTTTTAATATTACAAACTCTAATCGAGTCAAGCAGGAACCAACTTCGTCAGTACAACAATTTAAGAATCAAGGAAATAGCAGCCGTAGAGGTGGTGTAAATCGTCCTAACCAACGACAAAATCAAAATAAACCATGTTATTTTTGTGGCAACCCGTTTTCTTTGGAACATCGCCGGTCGTGCCCGGCTAGAGAAGCTACTTACAATGCTTGCAAAAAGAAGGGTCATTTTGCTAAGGTGTGTAACACTACGAGACGACGCGTTAACATGGTACAAAATGAAGAGATGTCTACAGATCAAGAGTGTAATTTAATTGACGTAAATGGTGACACCGAGCCGGAATATGGGGTCATGGCGATAGACGTTGTGCAGATTAACAATGTGGAACTTCTAAAGACAGCGGGAGGACAACCAAGGAGCCTCAGTATTCAATTACGATCCAGTAATTCTTTCTTCTATTCTACGGTGTACACTGGCAGTCCCGTATCTTTTTTAAACAAGAAAACGGCGGATATACTCATGAAGCGGATTCCCAACATTAAATTTAAGGACATCGCGAGACCCCTTTTAGACGTTACTTATGTCGACTATAACAAGAAACCAATTAAATTGTTTGGTTCTCTGGAAATCCCTATTACATCGAAGGGATGGAAAATCAAGAAGGCGTGTTTCTTGGTCTCCGAAAACCGTACTCGAAATTTACTCGGTTTGAACCTTCATGAGAAGTTAGGAATTGAAACGGTGCAACGCAGACCGGCAGATGTTAGCTACGCGGAGGAAGATGAGGAATTGGACCTGACCTCAAAGTTCTGGAGGGATTATTTTATCAAAAGGTACCCTAACATATTCAGCAGACTGGGGAGGTCAAAAAGCCATAAATTTTAAAGATCCGTTGTTACCCAGACAAGTTAAAGGCCGAAAAGTCCCTATACATTTGCAAGATCGGGTCACGGCTGAGATTAAGAAATTAATTAAAGACAAGCACATTGAAATGTTAGAAAAGTGTACTACAGATCATTTCATTGCATCCATAGTCCTAACAGCAAAGAAAAACGGGTCTATAAAACTCGCGCTGAATGCTAAACCCATGAATGCCCAAATCTGGCAAAACAAATATCAAATGCCTAATATGCACGAATTAATCGACTCGGCGGCTCAAATTATAACTAGAGACACACCTGGGGAGGTGTGGTTTCCTTCTCTTGACCTTAAATACGCTTTCAGTCAACTCCCTTTATCGGAACTAACCAGTAGTCATTGTAACTTTAGTATTTTTTGCGGAGAGGCAACAGGCACATATCGATTCAAGACTGGTTTCTTCGGACTGACGGACATGCCTACGGAATTTCAGAAAGCGATGGACTGTACGTTACAAGGGTTGGAAGGTGTCATCTGTTACCTCGATGATATACTGGTTGTCACTAAAGGAAGAGTTGAAGATCATAATGTACTAGTTGGAAGAGTCATGAGTCGATTGAATGAAGAAGGATGGGCGTTGAAACTTAGTAAATGTGAGTTTTCAGTTAATAAACTAGTCTGGTTAGGTTATGAAATCGATGAAAACGGTTACGCTCCGAAATTCTCAAAAATAGAGGCAATCAAATCCCTGTTGCCACCCAAAACTCTTAAACAGTTAAGATCGTTCATGGGTACGCTCAATCATCTTCAACGTTTCATTCCGGATTTGTACAAATATACAGTCGCATTTAGAGCTTCGCTAAAAACGGAGAATAAGAAATCCTTCCTGTGAGGGGGAGAGCAAACTATTGCGCTCCAAAAGATCTTAAACCTCATCGCAAACATCCCTAATTTGTTTCACTACGATGCTTCGAAAGCTTCGCGAGTTAAATGTGACGCAAGTCATAGCGGGTTGGGGGCCTGTTTGGAACAAGAAGTAGAGCCAAATGTTTGGGCCCCGATTGCGTTTGCCTCTAGGTTTCTAAACTCCGCGGAAATCAAGTATAGTACCAATGAGCTAGAGCTTCTGGCTATTGTATGGTCGTGCAAACATTTCCGTACATATTTACTTGGTAAACGATTTATTATTCTAACCGACCATAAGGCCATCATTTCCGCCCTCAATGAAACGTATGGTAAAAAATCTTATCAGTCACGACTTTCTCGCTGGGTGGACCGCCTCATTCCGTTCGATTATCAAATCGAACATATACCCGGTTCCTGCCTAGGCATCGTCGATTATTT